TCGTGTCTGGCTTTAGTCAAGGCCATGAGGCCATGGTGCGATGCGAGAGTAACTGGGAAGCCGCCTCCTCTTTCTGTAAAGTAGTGATGAGGGAACTATCCTCCTAACGCCCCAGCAGCCGCAGTAAGGGACACTCTGCATCGGAGTCACGCAGTCACACGGACGCGGAGCGCCCGCCCAGAGCCAGACCCGAGGGTACATTCCCCGCACCTCAAAGAGCTAGATCATCTGGGCTGATGCTGTATAATGTACTAATGTGCTAGAGAAGGAACATTGTGGTTAGAGTGGACACTCATTTGATATTTTTTCTCTCAAAAAGAAACAGGTGGCGCTGATTGATTATCCTACACAGCAAAGTAAACCTTTTGTAAAGAGTGAGTGTTGTGTGGCGCGCGGCGCGGCGTACTTAGCGAGGAGTTCCCTCGCGCCGGATTACCCGTACTAGCTTAGTGCGCACTTACTGATCAACTAATGGCGTTTTACGATTAATGTTGACAATCCGATTGTAATGTACAAGGAGATGAGCCTGGAATTAACCGTCGTACTCGTAAAGTTCTAAGTATAATGTGCGCCGCCGCCGGCACTCTCGCCCTCAGTGAGTACATTGTTTTAATACAAATCCGTGGCCTACAGAGCGGCGTGCTGCAAGCCGCGCTCGCTCGAGATGTGGGACGGATCCCGTTGAGCTATTAGTCACTAGTACAGGTATTGCCGCACGCACACACTCAATGCCGTCCTGTGTGTGTATACTGAACACGTGTCGTGCACACACACGCGGTAAGATTTACGCGCGCAAACGACAAACCTTTGTGCAGAATTCAATTATAGCGCAAAAAGTGTGGCGAGACGTGCCGCAATGCATTCCCGGTGAATCCGATACGCGATACAGACTCGGTGTCGGCGCGTGTCACTGCGATACCGGCGCAGTAGGACGCGGCACGGCGCGGCGCGGCGCCGGTTGCGACGTGCCGCGCTATTGTCCGAGTGTCACCGCCGCGCGCTACTAACATGGCGCCCACATCGTCACATCAGATCGGCCGCTTCCTACCCGTGCCGTGTACCATTGTGGTACATATTAGGTACTATTTGTAAACTTTGTTCTCTCTCCAGCTTCCACTAAAATTAGATAGAGCTGCCCGATCCTCAAATTGCCTACCTTAGCAACATGTAATATAATAGCTGATGATCCAGTTCAGAGGAATTTAAGTGTGACCGAAACTATGTAACTGTAAACTTCGCAAGTCGGCTAGTGCAGATATATTAAATAGCTTATTGTAAAACACAGAACTATACATAGGCTTAGAAAGTTGTAATACAGGAAATACTAAAGGAAATGTAACGACAATAGAGGTATGTACATGTTGCTACACCATGCTGCACGTGCAGCAGTGCCACACCGCGCCTCACCGCGCCGCACCGCGCCGCGCCACTAAGCCACACGCCGCCCTAGCCGGAGATCTTGTTGTTTGACTTTTAAATAGTCTGCTTAGCAGAAGGTGACACGTGTACAAGATCCTACTAATATTATAAACGCGATAGTTTGCAAGTGTAGACTTGGAAGATGTTACGCTTTCACGTAAAATTCTCTTAGTCGATTGAAACATTGAAATGTTACATTTTTTTGCCTTGTCTTGCGCTTTTTAAAGCTTGCTATTTTTACCGACTTCAAAAAAGAAGGAGGTGGCTGGACTGTGCCTGTTTTTTTGTATCCCCACCGATTATTCAGCCATTTATAAACCGATTTCCAAAATTCTTGTTTTGTTTGAAAGCTTATACTTCCGAGTGGGCTCCATTTTCATGAGGTCAGGATGTGATGATGGAATCCTAGGGAAACCGAGGGGAACTTCCGAAAATTGTAGTGCTTTTGCATGTTTTATTAGGCTTTTTACAAAGCTACAATTTGCCGATAGTCGAACTCGACCTGATGATGGAACCGGTAGACAGTCGAGGGATATCCTTGATTATTTGGAGTAGTTACCTAAGTAACCTTGTGTTTGGGCTTGAATGATTCGTATTTGTGAGCACTTTGCACCAAGATTGATCGTGACTGTCATTAGGGGTCTGATGACGAGAACGAAAGACAGCCCAGGGAACTCTTGGACGGTTTACAGTAACTACATCGTGTTTGGACTTAATTCATTTCTATCAATGAAAAATTCGCACCTACACGGATTACAATGAAGTTATGTAGTAAATCTGATAGTCTGTCATTAGGGGTCTGGTGATGAGAACGAAGGACAGCTCATAGGGAACTCTTGAACGGTTCACATGGCACCGAATTCAAGATTTTAAATGGTTATTTAACTAAATGAAAACATGTAAGTATTAATTTCTACAAAAAAAATATTTTTAGTTTACTTTTTGAAGTCGGAATATTTTTGTTTTAAGTATTTTATTTTGTGTGCAGTAGAGTGTAGGTGTCAGTGTCAAGCTAAAACCAAGTTTGTGGAGTCGCAACTCTTGTCCCATGGCCGCCATCTTGCAAATAGGGTGGTTTCTACTAGGTAATGTATCTGTTAAACTAAATGACGTATCTGACTATTGAAAAATCAACCCTTAAAGAAATATTCTGTGCAAATAAATCAAAAATTATTTTGTGTTATGTTGAATAATTGTAGACAAAGCTATTACTAAACACTTAAAGATACACATACACAGACTTAAGAGCTCACTCGAGCACACACACACACACACACTTCTTGATATCCCTTAACCGTTTGTTATCTAGGTACATAAATAATGTATGAAGTCACTTAGGGCGAAACCGACGACTCACCTTAAAACAATAAACTGTGTCTTGCGGCGAGAGTAAATCTTGCAAGAAGTTATAGCGCCGGGCTCCACGCCACTTACCATCCGTCTCGGCCGGAGCGGCGCGACAACGGCACGACAACGGCGCGACACCGGTGCGACACCGGTGCGATACCGGCTACACTACGCACAGCCAGGCGCGGCTTGTGAACAAGTTGAGACAAGTGTACACGTTGCTATAACTAGGTGACTGGAATAGGTACTTGCGGCAAACATCAGATTGTGGTGTTTGCTTGCGAGGCGGCGCTTCCTCCGACATCTGGCCACCTACAGCATCCTGTAAACCTTGTCTGCGAGTGCAACACGGCCTGCTTGGTGCGGCCAGACTCAGATACAAAGTAGAATCTGTCGTGGTGGCACGTGGTTCGAGCCTGGCAAGTGCCAATGTGTTATTCCAAATTAAATATAAAATCTTTCTAATATTATTTACACACTAAGGACAAACGGCAAAGGAAAGCACCGTGAGGACCTGGACTTATCAATTTCCAATTATAAGTCTGAAATCAACAAAACGCTGAAACCTTCTCCGTGTGAGAAGACACTCACAGGCATTACTTTGCTTAGCAGTGGGTACTTAAAGGCTGATGATGTGATGTGACCGTATCATCATTTAGGTTGATATGTTGTTTGTATATACATACGTACTGAAAATTTCGTTGTAACTAAATGTTTGACCATTGTGCAGGGCACTAGCCGCGGGTCCGCCCCCGGTCCGGCGCAGCCTCCGTAAGTCGGTTATGTAAAGTAGAGCGCGCCTGGTACAACGCTAATCAGTTTTACATATTTCAGGAAATGTTCTCGTCGCGAGCCGCTGGCGGGCTGCACAAACTGGAAGTGCTACTCAGCGCTCAGTACACGTGCTGCTGACTCTTCACCATAGTAGCTAGCGACTACAAAGTGGTGCCAGTTTCATCTATATCAAGCTTTTACACAAATACTTAGTTTTATTTTTATTTTTGTACTAGCTACCCGCCGAATTTCGTACCGCCTTAGCATAGCTTTGATGCACTACTTGATTTTATATAGCTGACAGGTTTTTTTGTGAGGGGAAAATCATCAAATGACTTTCCCGCCCAGGGTCGGACGGGAGGGAGTGTCAGTCTCTTACTGACTCAACGCCCCGGTGCTTGTCCTGCTCTGGGCCGAGGTCGCGGTGCCTCATTGCGCTTACCCCGCAACCCGGCTGAACATCAGCCCTATAGGGCCCCGTCTGTGGTGGTCCATTGGCTGTTTAAGGCGCGCGCGGAACGCTACGCACATGTTCACTACGATAAGGTCTACATCGGCTTGTTTGGTAAAATAAAGCTTTTTAATACGTCTTTACTCAAGGGGTATTTATTGCACACTGCCTTCTTTACAATTTCTTTTTAGATGAGTGGACTGTGTGAACGTAATTTGTGTGTGTGAAGTATGACTGTGTGCGTGAAACGTTGCTAAAAACTTAATGTGAACTTTATTTATTCAGACAGTATCGATCACTTATCACACCCTGGTAGTTATTTTGAAAATATGTTTAATGTACAGAATTGACCTCTCTACAGATTTATTATAAGTATAGATTAGATATAAATAGACGGAATAAAGAAACGACTAAATAAAAATTAAATGTTTTAGTGTTTCGGTAAGTTGATAAGAACGCCCTACCTATTTAATTAATGTTGCTGTGCCCTACTGGGTCCATAATTGTTTCTTCTTAATTGTATTTTACCACCTGTATTTATGTACATTATAGATTGCAATAAATAATTTGAATTGAATTGAAACAAATATAAAAAAAAAAACTAAATCGAATCGACCATTTTAATATTCTGGTGTGACAACGAATATAATATTTAAATAAACGCTGTCCCACACTAGGCTCTTCCCTCTGTTATTGGTGCTTATAAAACACATAATCAACCCAGACCCGCAACAACAATCGCACATGCGGGAATCGAACCCGAGACACTTTTCACAATAGCCTAACTCAAGTACCACCTTTGGTGTCAATATAAATATGCTTTTGCCAGAATCTAGTTATACAAAAAAATATAAGATGAACTCGTCACTTTAGCGGCATCCAGGCAGCACTCCAGTGCTCACCCTACTGCTGCGGGCTGGCAGCGAGACCTGGGTCGGGGCCGCGCCTGCAGCCGAGCTCCAGCATACATTATAGAGGGGCCGTGGGGCAGTCGCGGTAGCCGGCATGTATGGCAGTTGTAACTTGTGTGCAAACAATTAGAGGCAAGCGGACCCCCAAAGTGCAAAGCCTAATAGGATTGGAGGCACACAGAGTGTTGCTGGGCGACTGGGCGAGCGGGCGAGCGGGCGAGCGGGCGAGCGGGCGAGCGGGCGAGCGGGCGAGCGGGCGAGCGGGCGAGCGGGCGAGCGGGCGAGCGGGCGAGCGGGCGAGCGGGCGAGCGGGCCGGGCGGCGCTGCAGGTACTGGCGCTTGTTATTTGTCGTCGGCACACAAATTAGTCGCAGTGGAGGCGCGACGTCGTGTTGCCGGCGCCCGCCACCGCGCCGGGGGGCGCCACCTGCCCTCCGGCGTCCTCGTTTGTGCCAATTAACGTTCGACGGTAAAAAGATTTGCTTTTCCTTTACGTGTTTGCAGGAGCAACGTTAACGCGCCTAGTGAGTACACCTCGTTCTGTCGCGCACAACTTTATCATTTAAAGGGCAGAGTAATAAGGCGCTTCAGTGATAAGGAAAGTACAACATTACACGGCACAAAAGAATTTATTTGGCAAAAAATGAGAACATGATTATATATAAAGCACCCCTGTAATAACATTTGCTCCACAAACATGATTACATCAAAAACCCTTCCGCAATTACGTCTTCGTAGCACCTTTTCATTTATTTCTTTCATAAAAATAAAGTCGAGAACATTTCTATTCCGTGGAACATAAAATTCTGCTGAAGAGTTCCTCGTCGATGTGAATGGTGGACAGATCTGCTGCTTACCATAACAAAAGCAAAAGGTTCCGCGTTCGAGTCCCGACGCCCACAAAACCTCAACCGGACAATACACGGAGTGACGGGGGGTATCGCTTAATGTCGCCACTCAATGAGAGGAATCAGAAGTACAAGTCCACAGTTTGCTAAAGTCGCGAACAGAATCACAAATAGCACAACACTAATGTTAAGTGCTGTGGTATTGAAACGTTTCTCTCAGTAACAGTGAGAAGAAACAGTTCATGGACTCAGACGGAGAGCTGCAGGAGGGAGCCGCGAGGCGCACACACGCTGAGTGAACCTTCTACATACGCGTGCGTCTCGCGAGGCGCTAGTTTTGTTTGCGTTAGCGCGCCCTTGCGCCCCCGCGCCCCGCGGCCCTCGCCCCCGCGCCCCTCGACCCTCGGTCGGCTCCAATCAATGTAACTGGCCGTCGGAAACTCCCTCGATAAGTCAGTCAGGATTGGAATTTATCGAACAAGTTGTCGCTCTCCTTCGTAGTTTGTCGTCAGGCTGGAGCTCGGAACTTCTGGCCCAGTCTGTGAGCTGCCGCGCGCGATGCACACTACCGACGTCACAATCACAGCACACGACTCGCGGAACTCGAGAGACGCGAATGAATAAGTAATGTAGCCGTACCATTGTGTGTTTTATTGCGCCTACTTATAGTACAAAGTACACGAGCGTAACGTATTTAGGAAAAATAAAATAAAGTTTACGAGGGAGTCACGTCTGCGTTCAGTGAAGTCATAATGTGTTCCAGTACTGAGCAGCGACACACACACACACAGCGAGGCGACGGGATCCAGGATCATAATTTTTTTTAATCTACATCTGAATCAGTAGCTTTGTATTCCTAGTATCAAGAACCGTCATTAGAATTTCCTCCTGTCGTGGGTGCCTTTACAAACATACAAATTCACATACACATTATACACAGTCTCGGAACAACAATTTATGGATCCTGCAAACACATTTGTCATGTGGAAATCGAACTCGCGAGCCCCTCAACAAATATACAATATCCAGCCTTGTGAGCTGACACAAGGTGTACCTACACCCCTTACGTCGCTCCGACACTTTATCTCCACCGAAAGGCAAGCCGTGACAAATCGCCTCAGTATAATCAGCGCCGTATCTCCAGGAGACGAGACGTGTAGCTTCCTTTAAATCTCCCCTCATCAAAGTGACATGTGAAGCGCACTCTGTTGCCCATCCCCTATCAATATAATTGACACGTGTAGTCTGGTAGACAGCCGCCGCGGTAACTGTTACGATTCAGAACAATCTCGCTTTGACACACATTGAAGTATCTGCAGCAACAGTATGTGGACTGGAGCTTACTTAACAAGCACTTTATTGCAAGATGAGTGTGTCAGGGTGTCAGTGGCGGTCGATAGCGCGCAGACACTCGGGGGCTCATTAATATGTACGGCGGAGCGCCGGAGCCGGGAGCACTCGCGTGCCATGCGAGCCTGACCGGCCGCCATCCCACATATCGAGCTTTGTTATGGGGTCACTGCTTACTGATCCTTCCTCTTTATTTAAACGTCGGAAATTCATACATAGATTTATATTGCAAATATCATGAAATATTCCTATACCGGCTAAACCAAATAGTTTTTTTTCTTTTTTCTAGAAAAACGTTGCCCCTTTTAGAATATACAATGTCACATACACATAACACCCAGACCCGAAACAACAATTTGTGGATCTCACAAGGTGTTGTTCCGTGCGGGAATCGAACCCGCGACACGTTGCACGGCAGCCAGTTGCCCAGCCACCGCACCAGCGTGCAGTTTAGTCCAACAATTGGTCATTTTACTTTACACAGTCACCATGTCAGGCACACACACACACGTCACGTATACATGTGTATATGAAAGGGAGGGTCTCCCACACATACATAACTCTGATCTTATCGAAATGTGCACATGTCACGGCCACACGTAGATTTCCTCATGGAAAGCTCGAGATAGTTCAAGAACCGACCAGATCACTAAATCGTCTACGTTTCATGTTATTAACGTTTAGCTAAATCACGCATTCCACTTTGTTGGTGCGTGACATCGCCCACCTACACTTAAGTCAACACCAGTGCATCATCAGCGATGCAGCGTCTCTCCCGGTAATATAATATGACTACTACTAAACTGGACTACTTTATATAGTAGTCGCACAACATCACTTACCTATTTCTATTCATTATCTACCCTAATGACATCGTGAAGAGGTCGATAGACAAACATTTCATGCACAACATTAAATGTAGGTCCATTTCCAGTCTCCATTATACATTACCTATATGTATAATGGAGACTGGACCTAACAACATACCAACGTCATAAGATGAAGGACAACAATGTTATAATAATTGTCTAATAAAATGCTGTAAAAATATAAAATAACAAATAATAAAATGTAATCTGAGGAATAGCAAACCGATTTACATAACACAATAATAGAAGCAGCGGCAGCGCGCAATCACACGCGCCACCACGCCACCGAGCAAATGTGATTTGTGAGCGACACGGCGCGGCGCGGCGCGGCACGACGCGGCGCGGCGCGGCGCGGCGCGGCTACCTCGTCCAATGCCAACAAATACTGACTGTGGAGCGACAATATACAAGCAGCTCGTGTCTGTACCTGCGACGTTCCACACACACTGTTTGGGCGCCATCGCTTCGGTTGTTACATCCGAGTCTCATAACAAACGTTACGAACATCGGACACTAACCAGAAATCATTTTGTAAACGTATTCCCGTGAACTGCCATGCTCTGGGCCGTACCCAGCATGAGCATGACGAGGCTGCCCCTGCACTGGCACACATGGACCACGCTGCTTCCTATTACGACCGCGGACCGTGTAACCTACTTGACTACTTGCTACTTGATAAGCAATGCATCCAACAAAGTTCAGTCAAACTAGAGGCGCATAATAACGCCTGTGACGTGATGTTACAACAATAGGAACCAACTGGAGCCACTTTTCCTTATTATATACTTTATATATTCACTATTATATTTTTAAATAAATAATTCAAAATTCATCTATACTAATATTATAAAGAGGTAAAATTTGAAAGTTTGTATGTAGGGGGTAAACTTTGGAACCGCTGGACGGATTGCCAAAATTATTTCACTGATAGATAGCTACAATGTACCTCAGTCCTATTGGCTATAAAACATCACGCTACGATTAAATGGAGCTCGGCAGCGGGTGAAACCGCGCGAGAATAGCTAGTCTGTGATAAACACAAAAATCATGTACAGGTAAGACCGGCTGTAAAGCGACATTTACACTATTGGCCTCAATTACTGATTGGACAAACACATTGACAAACCGGGTTCACCTATAAATGAGCTAGAATTGAATGTGTGTGTAACACTGGCTAAATCTTAAAACGTATGAGCTTTAAGGTACGTATGGCCAAACTATAATGGATGATCACGTCAAGTGGCCTATCCAAACGAATAAGTTTGGTTGAGTAGGTAGCTAGACCTCAATATTGTTGTACAAACTTTTAAATGTAATAAAACATTTTTTCATTTTTCATTTTCATTTCATTAGACAAATTGTAAAAAGTTCACAAACAAACTTAATTTCTAATTATAACAGCAGTCAGGATAAATGTCGTTTCTGCTGTATTTGTTACTATTTCAGGAAGGGGCGCAGGCAGTCGGCCACAGCCGTGCGCCGCCGATCTAAACATTGATTGCGCTGCGAACTGTTATCGCCACGAGTGACGTTATCGTTTACCTGTGCAATATAACTGAACACTAGCCTCCTCACATTACTCCACATATTTTACTTCGTTGCAGTAAACTCGTAAACCGTTATACATATTAGGTACTTCACTTCTATTCTAGTATTTCAGGCAGTTCTGTCTGATCAGTTACCGCTAACTTTATATTAAGAGTGTGTTTACCGTGAGACAGCTCTGCCAACGAGTGACTGCCGGGTACATACAGCGAGATATTAAACAAGCAATGCGCCCCACACATGGACTTTTGTTGTGTATATCGTGCATGTACCACTGCTCGTTCCAGGCTGCTACTATTTCTTTTATTACTCGTTAGTCGGGCCGCTCGCCGGAGGTTATTTGCGAAAAATGTTGGCGAGCTCCGAACGACCTAACTATTGCTGTAGCAAAAGATCATAATCAAACATACCTACAACAACACACACACTTGTGTAAATACGAACTATAGTGTACATACATAGTGTGTACGTGTGTGTATGTCACAACATTGACAGATATTGAGTAGCGCATTCCTTATTATTGTTGGTGTATCAATAATACTACAATGAAACAAAGATTTTTTTCATATTCAGCATCGGTCAGTCATAATTTTTATTTACCATCCTACCCTATCTTTCAGTCTCCCTCCATATATATCCTCTATGATAATTACGCAGACGACTTACACTTGCACACATATATGCAGCGACACAATCGGGATGGCTTTAAGTAACCCGATGCCATCTAAAAAATTTATGGCGACTTATCTGCCATCAACAGCTGGTCAGCAAGGTTTGGTACTGCGGTAAAACCCATCAAGTATGAGGAGATTATCGTAGGACGCTCATGTTCTTAGAAAGACGAGTATCACAAATACAAGCTCAGCTACAACGATCTCGTGGAGTGAGTTACTAATATATCTATTATTGAAGGCGTGGGACCCTTATGTCTGTACTAAAGGATTTTTCGACAATTTCGATTAATAAACAATGCATCTCTGGAACTGCTTATATATCAGCCCTTTCCATAAAGAAAAGAATTAAGAATATAGGTACATACATCAAGAGTTATTCTATACTTATTGAATATTATGCTATGAATCCTGCTGCCACAGACCCCGCGCTTTTTTAGTTACATTCGTCCTTTGTTGTTTCTTCTGTCGGTAGCGCGGCCTCCGGGCATCGCTTGTGTAACCAACCGCTAGTACGGCCCAACCGAACTTTCATACATTTACAATAATCGTTCGACCTTTGCTACCTGAGGCGGGATGGAGCTCCATCTACTACGCATACTATTTATTTACTACTAGCTTTTGCCCGCGACTTTATTCGCGTGGAATAGTGACTTCCTTCCATGTCTTTTTTCGAATTCTAAACTATGTCTGTACCAAATTTTACACAAAAATCTTCAGTAGTTTAGGCGTGAAGAAAAGACAGACAGACATAGTTACTTTCGCATTTATAATATTAGGTCTATCTGTCTGTCTGTCAGTCTGCGGCATCATAGCTTCTGAACGAATGCACCGATTTCAATTTAGTTTTTTTTTAATTACAGTTGTTTTACGAGCGAGTGTTCTTAGACATGTTTGATGAAAATCGATTGAGCCTTTTAAAAGTTATGGGGGATGGGGAAGCAATTGCTTTTTTATGTGATAGGTCGCAAACGAGTAACAGATAACCAGTGGGAAAGCAATCAGCGCCGCCCATGGACACCCGCAGCAATGCAGGAGTTACAAGTGCTTTGCCGACCTTTTGTGGATCTGGGATTGAATTTATATGTAGATCTTAAGGGATGGGAGGAAGGGATGGAGGCATTGGGATTGGATCACTAAGTAGTATTCTGTGAAGAGTATCATGTATTGAAATACCTTCTTTCGTATAACACCACGAACAACCACTCCCCGAGTCCGAGGTTCACTCCCCAATATTGCTGGGCTGGCTGGCGGGGCCATTGATTCATGATATTTGTACACTTTATTTATATGATGATTTGATCAGAGTGTGCCTTCCGTTGGTCTGCCCGCGTTGCGCCATGGAGGGGAGCTGGCAGGGTCGTGCTCGGTCAGGCACGTGATGAGGCAGGAGTAGTGCGCCGCCCGGTGCAGCGGGGAGCTGGGCGACACACTCGGGTGCAAACAATAGCATTATTACACAGTGGGATGTTTGGCCCCGTTGTGACATTATAAGGTTGTATAGAAAAACGATTTGTAATACTTCCAATGAATTTATTAATTGCTCTTAAATAGTAAATATGTACACGTGTATAAATAAATTATAACCTCGATAAAACAACAAAACATCCACCGAGCAGCGGCACTCACACACGCACAGCGGCCGTGTCCGTGTCACTCAACTATTTATCTGTACATTGGCTCAGATCCCCCTCCAGCCACCAACCCCCAACTGGGCCAAGCCCACCACTTATATTACCTTGTACATGCGTATGTTCCACAAAGATCCACAATATGACTACAGTACTAAGAGTAGAGGTCGAGGAAGTTGAGGTGGAACCGCCTGATGCTGTCCATCATGTGCTGGAACTCGTCCCGCGGGTGTAGGATGGTGGTGCGGAAGTGGAACGTGCCAGGCAACTGCCCGAACCCGGTGCCGGGCACCACGCACACACCTGCGGACCAACACAATACATTTATTGTAACTCTAGGAACCGTTTTATCACGTCGCCACGTCGTATACGAATTAGATGATTTAGTAAATTTGTATGTTGGTTTATATTTTACTAGCTTCCGCCCGCGGCTTCGCGTGGTATGTTGATAAAGGATCCTATGCCTGTGCCAAATTTCATCCAGATCCGTCCAGCCGTTTTGGCGTGATTGAGTAACAAACATCCAAACATCCCTTTTTAAGATTGTGATAATGAGTAATGAAAGAACGCAGCCCAATTTAAGAAAGTTTCCATACGTACTTACAAGCCCAGGGATCATGACCACTGAATGGATTTTAATAAAACATGATATAGTCATGCCTTAATTATATATAGGTCTGCATGAGAAGTTTGTATGAATAGCCGTGCCTTTTACGGGAAAACGCCTTTTACATGCCAGTGTCACATGTTAGTGAAACTCGTCCCACCGTGAAGTACTACAAAGTTAAAACTACGTGTGTCTCCAGGAGCAGACACACACACGTATATGTCATTAGCAGCAACTAGTGTACAAACTGTAAACTGTGTGTATGTGTGTGCACAGAGTTACAGCAAAGTTGTGTACACGAGTTGCTGAGTTACACGTGTCGCGAACTGTTAGTGTCACACTTGACATGTAAACTGCTTTCCTTTTTATAAGACAACAATTACTGCATCACGGACCTTGATCCTCCGGCAGTCACCGACTCACACGTGATTTTTGTTAAATTTCTCGAAGAAATTTTTGGTATACTTCATGTTGCATATAAACATGTGTTTTTTCCAAAAGTATGTCCAATTAAGTTTTAAGAAGACGTTTGTGTTTAAAATATTTGCTACTGAATAGTGTGGTCTACTAGAGACTATTCTGATATTATACTGTAGAGGAAAGAAGACGACCGATCCGATGGGGCTTCATTGTGTAATACAAAGATTATGAATGAAATAACCAGCAGCAAGCGGAGCAGTACCCGGGGCGCCGCGAGCACGAGACACGCAGACTCGGTCCGGCGGCAGGCGGCAACAGTCGCGCGCTTCCTTCCCCGCGAGCCCCGAGATACACTGCCGCAGTATTCTGCTTACATTGCGGATATTTTGCTTAGCACAACCTCATTCAATGTCCGAACATTTATTATTTTCTTGCTCCATGATTTCCTGTAGTCTTTTACAATAATTACTGCGGAGTAGTCCGTCACATGCCTAGTTCTAAACACGTACGAGTAGTTTTCGCAAAATAATACTTTGGACTTTCTAAACTCTAGTAATGTAGATAAATTCTGATAACACAATCACACCTGTTTCCTCCAACAGTCGGAGACAGTAGAACTCATCAGGGCTCATGTTGAGTTCCTTGGCCGCCGCCTGCGCCGCCTCCGGTATGGTGATGCGAGGGTACGCGAACATCGAGCCCTGGCAACACAACATTATGGAATATTAATTTCTATGTTTTCGGTTTACTCACGTAATAATTTAACGAGATACTCGACTAGTTTCAAGCCATGCTAGAGGCTCATATTCATGAGCAGCATTCCGCTTCGCGTGTTATTACGTGAGAAGGCCGAAAACATAATAATTAATTTAGAATGTCTCATGAAAGTTATCATAAAAATTAAGGAACATTGCTCCCATTCATCACATTGTAGATAAAGCTGTAGTTATACAATGCTAATATTCGACAAAAATTTCAATTACATCGATAGGGTTACAGAAATATCCAGGGATAGAGTTGAAGGTCTCGTAGGCGGTCTCTGCCCTCTCAGTGAGCACGCGTTGGATTTCACCGAGTTCCTCAGCGAACAGCGGGTACGAGGGCTCGCCGGGCGCAGGCGGCTTCATCTGGAACAATACCCAGATGTTAGAAGTTGAGGATCGCAGGGTGTAAGTACCAGCGCAGGGGGCACTGACCACACAGTCGAGGATGCACTGGCCCAGCACGGAGGGGCACTGCATGACGGCGCGCGCCGTGCTGAAGGCGGCGGCCACGCGCGGCTGCAGGCGCACCAGCTCCACGTAGCCGGCGCGCAGCCCGCACTCCGCCGCCCAGCCCTTCGAGCACGTCAGGAAGCTGGCCAGCTCCATGCTGGAGTACGGCGCGCCCATCTCGTGCATCACCTGCGTTGTCAAGGTATGTTGTTTAATGGCGATACTGGCGGCCAATAACACCATCGCCTGAAGTACCGACCTTCTTAAACGAGTGGAACGGCTTGCAGACTATGTTCTCCTGGTACACCTCGTCCGCCAGCAGGAACAAGTTGCGAGTGTACGCGAACTTTATGATCTCCTCCATGTTCTCCCGAGTCAGCACCTGCAGTACGAACAGTCGGTCGGGCCTCATACAACAATTAGCTTGCAATCATTTCTACCTATACTTTGTCCTCCGTCAGAGCACCTGTCACAAATACATACAATGTATGTGTCGTGGTTGGCAGCGCCGGCCATTTAACACGAGCGCGACTATTTGTCGCTCGGCGTGTTTTCATTCCCGTATTTATTGTAGCAATCATCTGGCTTTAGAATAGTTCCCAATATTTGCAATGGCGGCGGTCCATCAAATTGCACGGAGCGCCCTGAATGCCGGCTCATTAATACATACACGCCACCACAAACAGCTCGCTCGATGTATTCTAATAAATGGTACGTGTGTCGCATTGGACAGTTTCGGGATATTTTGGACTTAATTAAGCTTATTGTTACAAATATGTTAATACCATTTATTGCATAGATTCCCAAATATCTAATTTGTATAATCTCCTCTGGTCGTGGAAACCGCAACTTGTCGTCACCGTGCCGACATTGTTGGTTTCATAGATTTAGCAAAAGCATCTGTTGTAGAGTGCTGACCTGTCCGGTGGGGTTCCCGGGGTTGATGACGACGAGCGCGCGCACGTGGCTGTGCTCGCTGGCCTCCCTCCAGCAGCGCTCCAGCTCGCAGGTCTGCAGCGCCCAGTCGTTGTCCTCGTCCAGGAAGTAGTCGGCGCGCCGCAGCCCCAGCTCCGACAGCGTGCCCGAGAACAGCGGGTACTGCGGCACCGGGATCATCACCGCTACAACAAAACCCCCCATACAGTAATCTGCCCTCGTTCACTTCAACTAACCCCAGCTCCTGCAGCTAGCAAGGTCCAGAATTGGCAATTACTCCCATACGTGAATGTAATTCGGGACATCACGATTCGAAAACAGGAGCTGACGGAAAGTAAGATTTCAGTTAAAACATAACTTCGTTGTCAACAGCATAGAATAGAGGAGCATTGAAGCCATGCAATGGGAGATTTGTAATTTGTGTAGCTGAAATACGTTCCGGGCTAATAATTTTATGATGACCAATAAAGCTAGATCAAAGAAAGTTTATAGCGCTAGTAAGTATGTGACACCTGGCGGTTTCCCGTCGACTGGCTCGACGAACATGGTGAGCACGGACTTGATGAGGTCGGAGGCGCCGGAGCCGAGGAAGACATCGTCCGAGCTGGCGGGCGCGCCCCCGTCCCGCGCCGCGATGTACTGCGCCGCCCGCGCCCGCACCGCGCGCAGCCCCGCCGACGGCGAGTACGCGCCCACCGAGCTCTTCCTGCAGGACGACACGTTCAGCAGTCAATAATGACGTCACTCCACGTCACGGATGCTCAATAAGCCCCGCATGACAGCGCTGACAGCCTCACTGACAGCTAGCTAGTATATATTACTACAGGGACACACCACTGTAATATTGTAAACTACATACATATTAGTACATACTCGTACATTATTATTTCTTATTGAGCTCGTCGAACCTTCCTCCTCCTCGTTTTTTGCTTACTTTGTTCACGTTGCAAGGGGGTATGTGTTGTAATAAATGAGAACTCCTTGATACAGCTTGCGTGTGTGTAAGCAGCATGGGTGGTGACACCGACAACACAGATTATGAGAATTAAAATGGAATGAGAACGTGCCGCGACCGCGCCACGCGCCACGCTCCATCCGTTCCACATACTCGTAATCCTACGAGAAACAATATAATTTCGCTTCCAATGGCTGCCTCTGTTATTTTAGCATTAATTTCAATTGGATTTGAAACGCTAATGCGACCCGCTGCCATAAACATCCGACCGAATCAATCTAAATCGAATACTAATGTCAATCAATCAATCATTGGAATGAGTCAGAATCAATCAGCGCGTGTAGTGTGTAGTGCTGACTGGCGCGCCACTAGACGAGCGGTAATCAGGTGTTGGGTAATTAGGAAGTCATTAGCGAAGGTGTTTGTCATTGGCATTAAGTAGCGGCTCCCTGGTTGTAACACACGAGTAATATGTTGTAACAGGGCAGAGGGTAGTCAGGGCACTAAGAGACATGAGATGATTATTGAATGTAAACTAGTTGGCAGTACACAACCAGGCCCGGCCATATAGTAATCTGTAGCAGCACTACACGCAGCACTCGTACTCACGTGCAGGCGCTGAGGATCTCGCGCGCCCTCTGCTTCACGTCGGCGGGCACGTCGGCCGCGTCCGCCAGCGCCGGGCACGCCGCTAGCGCCACCACCTGCACGCGCAGCACGAAACATTACAACTTACTAACTAATGAACAATAATAGTTTTGCGGGGAACGAAGCAACATCTCCAATGATACTATTACTGACTTAAAACTACCCTCATCGTGCTATCCTTCTTTTGCTCCAGGCCGGCTTATGGTACATCATTGCGCTTGCATCTGCAACCCCGGAACCAAATCACTGCTATCAGAATATGGTACATAAACATCCATAATATCAGTTCACTTGGCAATACATAATGCAAACAGGCCCCGACAGCCTCGTTCTTTATGTAAAATAGCTACAATGATTAAGCCGGATCCCTTCGTATTTCAATACGGAACTCTTCCCTTTTCGTTTCACTTTAAAAAAGCGTCGTCAAGTCGTCAATGCGCTCGGCATGTGTATTCCGCCCACTATCGGAGCGACGCTCATTACTCAATACGTGGCGCGTCGCTCGTCGGTGACGCAATAAGGGCCGGCTGCCCACGGGCTCCGGTGGGCGGCTCGTGTGGGACTGCGGACTCTCACTGTGACCCTTTGCTTGGCACTTAATGAGGTGCATGGGACCGGATGTGTCGACACTCGTCACTAGCGTAGGCTGCACTCACCTGCCTGATGAAGGTGATGGGCTTCTGTCCGAGAGCGTGACAATCTCCGATGTTGGCGCGGACCACTCGCTCGAACGGCTTCGGGACTCCCTGCCGAACGATATCATACTTAAGTACAACCTTTACAAATGTCAGACTAAGTTTACATATTCTATGCGGATACAGATGTGTATACAATGACATAGTCCCTGCCACGACTCGAATAGCAATCGTCGTGGCTGAGAGGTTTTAAATCCAATCTGATGTAAGGGATGGCAGCCGTAAGTTGGTTTGATAGGTTCAGTAGAAAAACACGTAGAATATAAATTAGAGAGGAGATCAGTCCCTTGTTTGAGTCCCGCGGGTGTCGTGACAGACAACTCACGGATTATTCCGATGGGACTCGATTTAATATGGCGGCCATTACTCTCAGGACCACCGACCGTTACGTACCACGCCACGATAACTCCGGCGCCGAGCGAACCCTGGCGCTGTTACATCTGCTTGCAAGTACAACTCTGTGTTACAAGTAAATACTGTAACTACACTCGACATACACCTTCATACCAAAATAAAGAGGAAAATAAAAACACGTTTGTTATAAAATATTCCGTTTATGTGGAAACTAGAAAAAAACCCGAGTGCGAAACTTTGCAAGAATTCATACATAATGATGCAATGTCCGATTACATTGTGTTTATTTAATTTATAATTATTTTGAAGACAGGGTAAACCACAGCTTACACGTATAAAACATACGAACAGATCATTAGTGTATTGAACACATTATACATCGTTTTTTTTTTTGTTTTTGTAAAAACGTACTGTGCTTTGAACACTACTAAACTGCCTCGTTTTAATTGAGTGCTCGAACGTCAATGTCAAGTTCCCGGGTGCCAGTCGAGTTGTGCTAACTCATTTTATCCGATGTGGGGCGAGGACTGACTAAAACCACCCCGTGCCCCGTGCCTTCTCCTGCTCCGAGCCCTGACTCCGGCCGGATATATAAATAAAGTACTTTAGATGTGATATGGGATACAACGCGGACGTAGCTACAGTCCAGAGTGCACCGTCAGATATACTCCAATTTACCCGTGATATCTAAACAACGGCACAACATACATATTAGATAAACCGGAGTTCATTGCGACTGCTACCCGTACACACATATGTTGTTATTTATTCAATTGTGAATACTAATAACAACTTAATCTTCGCCTGTAAGGAAAACAGTAAAGATAATACGTTGTGGCAATTAATAGTTCAAGGCACGAGTATACACACACACACACACACACACAAACTGTATTACAGATAGACTACATAGTTCTGCTCCAGTCGGGAACAAAACGAAATCCCTGAGCCATGCGCTGCCTTACTGTTTAGTTAACTTGAATACTTATTATTTGATTCGTTAAATAATAAACACATTAAGGTAACACAGGTTGGTACTAAATAGGGGCGTGGACTTCATTAGTACGGGCGCTGTACTTGTGCCCATCGAGCAAATCCCCAGTAAATGAGACTATGAATTTCCAGTTAGATCAATAAAGATGGCGCCCGGAGCACGGCCACTATGTCACTGACTATGAACCACACAAACTCCAGCTGGTCAAACATCTGATGCATCGCTTTAACGCGGCAGATCCTGGTGTGGTTGTCTCATCCACTATTGATGAGCTACACAAGGAATATTCTTTGACCCAAAGCTCCCAAAAATATTGTCTCACGCAAGTACTCTGTTCAGTGTCATGGCAACGTTTACAAACATGCAATTTTACATACACATCAACACCCAGACCTGGGTCAACAAATTGTGGGACTTTGTACCTATACTACACATTGTGCAATGAACGAATATAGTACTTATTAAAAGCTATTTGATAAAAATTAACAAAATAAATCAATATTCGATACGTAATCGCATGCCTTCGGACATTTCAATAAGAAGTTATCAATCGATCCCACGGAAATAAATCGCTGTGATAATCTGCCGCCCGCTGGCGAGCGAGGCGCGGGGTGTTGGACAGGTGCCCAGCACCGCCCTCTGGGAATAGACACCACCAGCTCCCTAGAGTCTAGAGAAACGTGAAAAGGTTTTCCCTGTTCTAAAAAGGTATGGTACAAGCAGGCTATCCGACGTAGATCACATCTCAATGCTACAGAAAAACCGGGGCTGTTACTAGTTGGCAGCAGTCTCATTGTAACGCAGGAACCGAACGCTTTCGAATGTTTTTATACAAGCATATTTCATAGCGAATCATAGTAAGTACTACCTAATGCAATAAATTGCGTGACAACTGATTTAATGAATGCCCAACCAGTGAGCACAGTGTACTGTTTTCGATTTATATGTAAGGTAATATAATGAGATAATTTCAGTTTGTGCAATGTTCACACGGGGCACGGCGGAGAGCTCGATATACATATAATATTCGAGCTCGCGGCCTGTCCTGGCGTGCACACCAAAAACCGCATTACGTAGCTGCCACTAGCAGCCTGCTGCCGCCCCTCCCCCTCCCCTCGGGCGTTCTCCAGGTTTTGTGAAAACAGATTCGATAAATGGAAGCACGGTACACGAGTAAGTATTCGCTCTCGCTACTCGCCAACCAACAGATTTTGTGGGTCGCTGTTCGGTTCCGAGTGCGAAATATTAGTTGGGTGTGTGAATGAAATGGGCGATGTAATGATGTACGGGACAGAGGAAGCACACTTACTTTCCGCACTCCCCTTGTATTGGCCGAGTAATACCAACAGCTCGTGTCGCCGGCAGGGATCACTGCTAGTGACCTGATTACACTGCACTGCTAATGTTAAAGTGTTTCCAGAAACTCAAAGCTACGAGTCCGGCGTTACTTAGTTGTGAGCACTCGCTTTCTGCAACACGCTACACATTTTTTACCCCTACACTACATACACTGCACTCGTTACCATTTTAGTAGTTAACTACGTTTCCTTCGTTTTATTTTCCCGTGAGTGCATGTACTTCGTAACCCGAGTCGTTTGTGCGGACGTAACTAGCAGATGGCAATCACGGCAATATTACTGAATGTGTTTAAATCACCTTCTTTTTATCCCGAATAAGTTGTACAGAAGCAATAACATTGTTTGTATGTTACATCTCACTGAAAACATTGAAGTAGTTAAGCAATTCTAATGAAGTAACCCATTCCAAATTGTGTTGCAGTCATTATTCGCGGCTCGAGGCTAGTGTAACATATCCGTGCCTGGGCGGTACCTAACTATACAAGCGCAGTATCTACGACTTTTGTTACCGAGATAATCGTGGCAGTTTCAAGTAATACTCATGGAAACAAATAATTGCGAAACTGCTATATTTCAGCGAAGACAAGTGGTAGAGGTATGAAATAAAGTTTGTTGACAAGTCGCGTCAGATGTCACACAACACAACCAACCGATTTGTTGTATTGTAATAATAATTAATTAATGTTCTCGCTCCACGCCACGCGCCGCCGCCGCCGCCACCGCGCCGCTCGCTTGTATAGCGTCGCCAAATAGTTTACGTCCTTACTTAACGAATATTACTAATAATTTTGTTATATTTAATACGCAAAACAAGATCAGTACTACAAGTCTAGCACATACTTTCTTCAGCTAAACGGATTATGACAAGTCATGTCGCTGAGCTTGCAACGACAACCACCGAGCGAAGGTGCAACGCTGTTTTTGCGTCCCATCGGTAGTACTCTCTGTGTATCCTTCTAAATAAAATTACGTCGAATGTGATTGTGTAAATGTTTGTGTTGGTCGCGTTCTGTTATTTCGTTGGCGCGGATGTGGGTATATTTAATATAGGGAGGCTCTCGTGGCGGTAAACAGTTGGTAAGTGAGTTATACGAGTGTGACGTCACCGCGTAACGCGCCGCGACCCGAACATTTCGAGTTGTTCGCCCCCTACAGTAGTACACACTGCCGTGCGTGTCGGTCTACGAGTTATTGACGTTTGCTGCTCGCTGGTTCAGCTGTTGGATGTACTCCGTGAATCATTATAATATACTGCTAATGTTTCTAGCAAACTTCGTGTAAGAAGTAGTCGTCAGCTAACAGTTACCTACATAATAATTTGTCATGTACGACGTCTGCTCCCGATCCCATTCCCATTCCCAATGCTTGATATACGTAGGACTGACTGCGGCCAAGCTTGTCAATAAATACTTCGGTTACATTGTATGGATCACAATAACCGCCAAACGCGTCGCCACGTGCCCCCACCCCTACTATGTCGGGTTACATACAAACACGGGGACCTCTGTCATACTCAGATGTTGCTGTGGTTATATGGCAACATTAAAAACAAATATTCAATGTTTTTCTTTTCATTAGTTTTTATCAGTCGCAGTTTTGACCACTCGATACAATGTTGTTGAACAGTTGCATAATCAGTAAATTAGTACATTATGACCTACCGCACTCTATAACGTATATCGATAAATCTAGCAAACATCCGCGGCCATGCATTGACATTTTATATCTACGACATTTTATGTCATTACCAAAAAATGTGATAACAGTCATTTTTCCTTGTTTACGTCGGTACTCATTAATTCGATCATGCTCGGTTGTGCATATTTCGGAACCTTAGCCTCAGGTTGCATGTTTCACAAATGGCGTGCGTACAATGGCCGGTCTAATCACGCAACGCTCAATTCTTCCAGATAATCTTTGGATACATTTTTTATAAGGCGCCAGATATGGGGCAGTCTAGCTATAAGTAGAATGCTAAGTTTCAGGTTCCCCGACGATTCCAGGAACACTGAGGAACTGAAAAGGTTTTGAAAGATCCAGAAGAAGTATTATACAGAAAGGACCGAATACGAGTGCTCCGGCGAAATCGAAGGAAGATTTTTGAGCTTATACACGGAATATTTTGGAAGACCAAATATAGATCTGATAGGAAGGTTTTTGAAGTGACTTAAGTTCGTCCAATTGTTATTGGGTGAGAACAAGATAGCCGACAATAACAAAAACATAGTTTTGATAATAAGTAGTGGGACAAATACGAAACCGCCTCAGTCAGGTTTATTGATACTAAACAAAATCTGAGCGTTATCAAGAGCTATGCAATAGCATAACAATGTCAACTCTGTAAT